AAAAAACCCATCTGCAATTAGTTCGTGTGTGGAGCCTGCAGATAATGAAGGGCCAGCTATGCATTTTGTGTCAGAACTGTTGCAGCCAAAACTCAGTCCCTAATTGCAGAACTCAGTCCCTGGTCGGACGCCATATGTTGCAGCCAAAGGTAAACTGGTGGGGGTGGGGGGTGAAAGGATTAAGGAAAGACAGGTAAGAGAATGAAAGCTGGGTCTCGGTGGGACACTGCTCCCTGATGAGGAGACAGCGCCAGCGCCCACAAGCCGTGTCTTTATTTTATAGCAGGTGCCACGAGGCAAAGTAGGGGTGTGATCACGTTAACAGTATTCTCGTGAGTTTCAACCTCACTCAACTACATGCCCCCGAGCTCTATTACAAGGCACGTGGGGCCACGTGTTCGGACCATGGGTTCAAGCTCACAACCACAGCTGTTGGCTATGATTGTGCTGGGAGGGCCCTGTCCTCCAGCTGGGATTTGCACGTGGCAATGAGAGGACCCTGTCCTTTCATTAGTCCAGGCTTGAACCTGGCTAAAGCACTGTAGCCGCGCCCCGTATCTCCCCCTTTACTTTTGTTTTTAAACACACCTATTTACGTTATCCAAAAAACTAAACAAATTATTCGGCATCATCAAAATATCACAGCAAACTTCTGGCCATTAACAAAACTATAGACACAGCAATGTTAACAAGAGAACAAAACTCTGGCTAATAACAAAGCAGTACCCATGCAAAACCAAACTACAAACATGTTAACGTTTTCAGGATATCTTACTCAAAGTCCTTAGATTTAGCTCCGCAAGACTTTACAGAAAACTGGCAGTTCACCAACGCTAGCATAGCTTCCACTTGCTTTTCTAACATCTGCTTGGCCTCAGTCGCCATCTTCAGCTGACTCCATGCTGATACCTCGGCGATGCAAAGATGTCATTCATGCAAAACCAGTCCCCTGGATCAGGCTGTTTGGAAGGTTGACCTTGGCACTGAGTCTGCATCAGTCCCAGTCAAACCAGCCCTGTCCACGCCGGTGGAAGTTCTTTATCCGCTGCTGCATGGAAACGAGCAGCCGGGAAACGAGCAGCCCTCGGTAGCTGGAGACCTCCAACTCTGAGTCTGGCGTCTCACACACCCGAAGTCCCAGGGAGCTATCTGGTTGCACAAGCAAAGATAACCAAAGCCTAGAAACAATGCAACTGCTGCAAGAGCTTACAATCTAGGTGTAAAAAAATTACTTCCTTTAACATAAACCACCACAGCCATCTGCTGCTTGACAGTGGCTTAAAACCTAGGAGATTTCTACCTTATTTTATATCTTCCTATTCACTTATTTTCTACCGCTTATTTTCTACCACTTATTTCTGCTTATTTATTCCTACAGCCGGGAAACGAGCAGCCCTCGGTAGCTGGAGACCTCCAACTCTGAGTCTGGCGTCTCACACACCCGAAGTCCCAGGGAGCTATCTGGTTGCACAAGCAAAGATAACCAAAGCCTAGAAACAATGCAACTGCTGCAAGAGCTTACAATCTAGGTGTAAAAAAATTACTTCCTTAAACATAAACCACCACAGCCATCTGCTGCTTGACAGTGGCTTAAAACCTAGGAGATTTCTACCTTATTTTATATCTTCCTATTCACTTATTTTCTACCGCTTATTTTCTACCACTTATTTCTGCTTATTTATTCCTACAGCTTATTTCTTTTTTTTTTTAAATATATTTTATTGATTTTTACAGAGAGGAAGGGAGAGAGAATAGAGAGTTAGAAACATCGATGAGAGAGATCGATCAGCTGCCTCCTGCACGCCCCCTCCGGGGGATGGGCCGGACAGCTCCAGGATATGTCCGCAACCCAGGTACATGCCCTTGACCGGAATCGAACCTGGGACCCTTCAGTCCGCAGGCCGACGCTCTATCCACTGAGCCAAACCGGTTTCGGCACCTACAGCTTATTTCTACCACTTATTTCTACCGCTTATTTCTTACTGCTTAGGTCTCTATTTCTACAGCTTATTTCTACCTATTTCTCTATTTCTACAGCTTATTTCTACCTATTTCTCTATTTCCACAGCTTATTTCTACTTATTTTTTGCTTATTTCTCTACCTCTAACTATGAACTATAGGTCGGCTTGGCTGCTTTTGCCCAAACCTTTCCTGGGTTGCAACCCCTGCTAATGTCTACATTTCTACAACTTATTTCTACTTATTTTCTACTGCTACCACTTATTTTCTACTTATTTCTATATTCCTACAACTTATTTCCTACTCTCTATTTCTACGGCTTATTTTCTGCCTACTTTCTACAGCTTATTTCTACCACTTCTTATTTCTACCTTAGAAATTTAAAAATGCTTACTTTAAAAATGCTTCAATTAAGCATAGTCCCATGTTTTACACCGAGCTAATTTTACCACACTTCAGCTCCCTACCTTATTTTGTTTTTTGGCCTAATTACTTTTGCTTTTTAAGCTTAACTTCTTATTTTCTTTTATTTTTTAAGCTTACTCTCTGCGCGCGCCTTGGAGCCTCCTTTCACCGACCACTTTTTAAATTCCCCCGAACTCAGGCCCTGGTGGGCGCCACAGAATTAGAGTATAAAGAGTCAAGTTAATGCTTTTGTTCATTAAGCGGTAGCCATTTGGATTTGAGAGTGGTCAACAGTAAGAGAAGGAGAGGGGTGGTCCTGAAAGTGGGTCAGATAAGACCCACACCAGGACCCTGGGGGCGGCGGGTAGTGGGAGGTGCACCAGCATTTAAAGATGGGGAGCAGCAGAGGGGAAGCCCAGAAAGGCCTGCAGAGTGGGGAACTGGTAACCGGGAGAACCCACACGGACACCTGGTGAAGGGCGTGTCAAGGCAACAAAGGTCACAACAGACAAAATGACTGCAAGCAGGTGTGTGGAGCTTTAGCCACAGAATGGTCGCTAGTGCGTGCATTACCTCAACGGGGGGAGACAAGGAAAAGGTGAGCGAATTAATTACCCATTGTCACAACTGCAGGGGAGGAGGGTCAGTTGTCCACATCGCAGGGGTGTAGCCATTAGACCGGGCTACCGTCACTCTAACGCAGGTCTGGGGGATGCAGCAAGGAGGTGATGGAGCCCAAGATAATGACACTTTCCTCAAACGACGTTCGCCATTTGGCAAAGAAGGAATTCAAATTAAAGCCCAAGTTAATGGCTAGCTGGGCTAAGAAATGAACAAATATGAGACGCATTATATGGAGCAGCGGTGAAAAGCGCCAGAGCGATTGGGGCCTGGCTGCTCACGGTCCCGTACACGGACTACGGCATCTCCAGCCTGGATTCCTCCCTGGGCACCCAACTGCCCCTTGGCCTCCCCACCAGGTATCCGATTCAGACCCTTGATTTCCCTGGTCTGTCCATGTCTGCTCCCCCAGTCTCCCCACTTCAGTTAGGTGGCAAGAGCACCAACAAGTTCTCTATCCCAAACCTAGCAATGCACTAAACCAGTGGTGGGCAAACTTTTTGACTCGAGGGCCACAATGGGTTCTTAAACTGGACCAGAGGGCCGGAACAAAAGCATGGATGGAGTGTTTGTGTGAGCTAATATAAATTCAAAGTAAACATCATTACATAAAAGGCTATGGTCTTTTTTTTCAATAGTTTTATTCATTTCAAAAGGGCCGGATCCGGCCCATGGGCCATAGTTTGCCCAGGGATGACCTCCACCCAGCTCTTTGTCTGTCATTTCTCCATCCTTTCTCCACCCTCACTCAGACTTTTGAACCCTTGGCTCAGCTGGCTCGGCCCATGTGGTGCCCGATGCGGGGCCTGAGTTCGGGGGAACTACAGTTGTCAGGTGAAAAGATGCTCCAGTGAAGCACGTGCAGAAAACAAGAAGGAAGGTAAGGAGCGAAGTTCAGTGACATAACTAGGTGTAAAATATGGGAAATTCAGGATTGTGGGAAAAGAATTTATATATAGACAATGCTTAATGTTATGCTCTAAGCACGGGGCTGTTCTGTGAGGTATCAACAGCTCATAGATTTGTTGGATTTTGTAAGTAAAACCTGCCCGTGATTTCCTGAGGAAGGAAAGGTAAATGTAGAGACGTGGGAGAAGGTAGGAAAACAACTTAGAGATTCGTGTTTGTGCTGACATTGGACCAGCCTATGTTCGGGGAATAGTATCAGCTGCTGCATTCGCTGGTCAGCAGAAAAAGGAAAGGGGCTGCTGTGGCAACCAATGCCCGCTAGGC